TTTTTCTTTTGAATCATTATTTTTGTTCACTCTTGCCAACAACTTTTTTTTACTCTTTTATATTCTTAAATATTTTTATTTGTTCTAATTACTTCAATGTAGTTTTAAAATAATGTCTTACAAAAATCAATGAATAACAACTTCCTTTTGAATGGGAAAATAATTTGTTCGACATGATTGTGTTAAGTATTCAATTTATAATTAAAGAGAACGTTGAACTGTTAAATGAACTTTGTTCGAAAATGAACTGTTATCATATATTCATTCTCGTATTATCTTACTCCATAATATGTTCGCGTGCTTTTCATTCCTTCACGTAGTTCCTAACTAATTTCATATATTTGTTGATTTTCTGCTAATTCAATTAATTTCATCTTTTAATAAATGAAATAAGTTAATTATAAAGTTATAATACTAAAAAATTTAACATGGAAGGGTTCAAATAAGGAAAGAATACACGTAAGTTGAAATCTTTAACAAATTTTAAGGTCCTAAATTCTAGAACTTTCTACATAATTCAAATAAAGAAAGATTTAATGCTTAAAATTTTAGTTGCTTGTTAACACCTATATTTTAGGGAAAATTATCAAATTACAGTTTTATCTAATGTGAAATTTATTTTTAAAGGGTAAAAAAGGCAAACGACATTTCGCTAAACACCTTCGTGCTTTTAATATAGTATAGATTATTACTACATGACAAGAGGCAAATTCAAAGTTTAATTCCAACGGATTAATCAATAAGATTCTTAGTGCAAAACTCAGTGTTCAATTGAAACTATGAGTACAAAAGTTAATATTTATTAAAATTTGGACATATATTTATACTCGGTGTAAAAAAATAATAGGTTCGATTGAATCCGCAAAATGTATGCTACACTCGGTACTGTTCATGAGCTAAATTTTTAAGATGAATTAAACCCAATATGGACGGGTATTATCTCCATTGTCTTGGACAAAATATTCACCTCATGATTTTTCAAAGCCTTTTCTACATCGAACAGACTTGAGATGTATTGTAGTATAACTAAAGCTATTTATTTTTACACGCACTCCACATATCTAAATATCAAACAGGATATGAGAGTGAAGAGTAGAGTTTATATCTCTTGTAAGATTCGAATATTGTTATGAATGGTACCCTAATAAGTTAGATTATTCATTAAACAATTATAGAAAAAGTTAAATTAGTGAATTAGTCAACAAACAGAAGAATATAGTAAAAAGTTAGCTGATCGTGATGAGTTCATAAAGGAAGAAGAATATTGGCCCAAAAAGAAAAAGGAAAAAAAAGAAGCAGAAAAATCCAATATTTTTTCCAAACAAAGGTATTAACGGCTTCCAACGACCCATCCAACAGATTCGTCTGTTTCATTAGATTTTTAGTTGAGAAAATTCCTCGAATGTGGATTTCAAGAATATTTTTCCACTTCTTTTATTAAAATCTTTATAATGAGCTATGAGTCTTAATGGAGAAAGGGAAAAAACAAATAAAAAGAAAGGCAAGGGCTTAATTTCATACAAGTTGCTCGGAAAATAAAGCTTTATAACAACGTCAAAACAAAACAGTAACAGTTAACAAGAACAATAAGAAACAAAATTTACAACAGCAATAACAGTATTTATCTTTTATTTACTTATAGAAGTAAAAACACACCATCAATAATTGTCTTTTCTAAGTTTGGAGTATCATAAATTAATGTTAATTAGAAGGATGAACAATAGAAAATCAACTGTAAGCTAGACATTTTAACACTAGTAGTAATGACTAAATAGACAACTTTTATTGGCTGGTCACTAGCATAATTAAAGTGTCTATCTGAAAGTTTGATATGCTTATTTACGTATAATTTGTCCTTTTTAAAATTCAATAATACGTGTCTCCACCTAAAAGGGCCATAAGTTTATATATCTCAGCCAAAAATACCTTCCTTAGATCGAAAAATGAGTTAAAGAATGTGCCTCATTTTTCTTCTAACTAGGCTCTACCAACCTAATAGAGGAGTCATAATTGAAATATCTATCTTTAATCATAAAATATATATGAAAATAATGAAACATATACAAAGGGATTTTCATGTCTCTCTTGGCCAAAAGCCCAAAACATAATTTCTAGGGCCAGGGTAACTTTACGCCTACATTGGTGGATTCTAAGCACTAATTAATAACCGGGGATTTGTATCTATACTTAGTTTTTTTGTTACAATTTAACTCATACCCGCTTTGCAAAAAAAAAAATTACAAGCGTACTCACTTTTCGGGTAACTTCAGACATACGGATCTGAAGTAGCAAGAATTTATGTCTGAAGTTTGAACTTCAAAATTTTTTGCCTGAAGTGTGACCTTATCAAAGTAAAACTTTAAATATTTTCCTCTGAAGTTTGGCCTGACTTGCAAAAGCAATCAAAAAAACTTTAGTTCGTAGTACAAACTTCAGACAAATTAGTCTGAAATTTTCAGTTTGTAATGCAAACTTCAGACAAAATTAGTCTGAAGTTCTTCAGTTTGTAGTGCAAACTTCAGACAAAATCAGCTTGTTATATTTGAACTTCAGATAATTTTTCCTGGCATGATAGTTGCAAACTTCAAAAAAAATTTAACTTGGTAATGTCTGAAGTTTGTCCCTGCAGTCCCAAATTTCAGTTGATGCTTCTTCGAATTTTGACAATAAACTCTTATTTTATTATTTACGTACTTTGTGTTGGGATGCAAATTTAAGACAAATTAGTCTGAAGTTCTTCAGTTTGTAGTGCAAACTTCAGACAAAATCAGCTTGTTATATTTGAACTTCAAATAATTTTTCTTGGCATGATAGTTGCAAACTTCAGACAAAATTTAACCTGGTAATATCTGAAGTTTGTCCCTGCAGTCCCAAACTTCAGTTGATGCTTCTTCGAGTTTTGACAATAAACTCTTGTTTTATTATTTACGTACTTTGTGTTGGGATGTATTAATGTTTGAGAGGCAATAGCGAGTCTTTCTTTCTTCTTGATTTGTCGCTTTGTCCAATTTCCAGAAACGATAACATGTGTAACTTACAGGATAACATGTTTGAGAGAGAAAAGAAGAAGAAGAAGAAGAAGAAGAAGAAGAAGAAGAAAAGAAGAGGAGGAAGAAAGGAGCGCACGGGTCGCAGGATCTGAAATTATCAAAATTAGGATATAGATTAAATAATTTTAAAAATATGAGTATAAATTAAATGGGGGCGACCAAATAGGATGCCCTATGCAATTTTTACCTAATAAGTCAAGTGTGTTGGTCAAATTAGGTATATTCACCACTTGAATAGTTAGTCAATTGTAGCATTTTTCCATTGTCTTCTGATTGGGTCACCTAAATTTGGTGCTTCAAAAGTTGGCTACAGCATTATGGATTTCACAAACTTCTATATGATCTTTTTCCAACTTTTTCTTCCACTTACTAGTTACTGCTCAATTTTAGAAGCACCAAACAATCTATTACTCCTACAAAATTGTTTAGACTCCAATTTTGGCTAATATAATTCGATATTCGGAACCATTGCCCAGCTCATTCGGTTTCTCTCCATGTATGACCATTAAGGAAAAATTGTTTCTTATTAACTGATTATTCGTTTTCGAGATTTATTGATATTTAGTCTAGTCGATGTAAACAAAGTAAAATATTGTTTAGGACGGATTAATCAAAAAGCTATCCTAGAAATTATTCAATCTTTCTAAGTTTACTTCATCTTTTGCTTATGAGACGAAAGAAACTACCGAACCAATCTCGAGTTCGCCTTCCATTAATCAAATTAACACATCCTTCTTTTTATCTCAATCAATACGTAAAGCAAAAATAACACAATTTCAAACAATTAAAAATAAGGTTTTGAAGTGGAAGTCAGGCAAGTGTGCGGATTCACAGCATTTGCAGGGACTACTTTTAATTTAATACTATGTGGAACAAAAGTACTTAATCATGATTAATATATTGTTGAGCTTCTGAGCTATAAAGTTAAGAAAAGAGGGTTGATGTGGTGAACACCACTAAAAGTCTCTTTAATGGGAGTACTAAATTATTGTACTGTAAAACCATTACAGAGCGTTTTTTCAAAAAAAAAAAAGAAATTAAAAACTTTAATATGCATAGAGATTGTTTGGTTGGTGGGATTAGAAAAAATAACCCCACTAGCACTAGCCACTACGTATTATATTATTAGTCCTTAATTGGTTAATAATGTGTGTGTATGTATGACTACATTTATTAGCTTTGAGTATCTCTGTATGACTAAATTATCCCTTTTTTTCACAAATTAAAGATTTGAACATTTTTTTACAAATGAGAAATCTAAATTATGCCAGCCTTTGAATGCATTGAAACTATAATTTTACTTTCATAACGTGCTATAATAACCTCACATACTGATAGCTATCTAATGTCCTGCTCATTTGACACTAAAACGATGAGCACTTTCCCAATCCAGATGAGCTTGAAAGAAGATTTAAAAGGGGGAGAAAAACATATAAAAATGCTATCCTGATACACCAGATTTTGCAGTGATTATATTCCATCGTAGAAGCACGAGATAGCAAAATGACCATGACAACAACTCAACCCTGAAAATTATAGGTGTTTGACCATTTCTATTTTACTTGACCACATACACATCAAAATCCTTGATGAAGCAAACCCTTGATCCTTCATGCCTAAGAATCACATGTATAACTCCACAAAAACTAAACCTCTCTCAGTCGGAAATGTAGAGGCAATAGAGGCTACTGCCACTGGCGATGGGAAGATGAAAGAAGGAAAGCTGGACGCACAGTGCAAACTCCACAACAGAAAAAGACGACTTGCAAACTAGATCAACAGTTGGCATCACCCTATCAGACACAGAAGAGCTACATGCTTCATAAGATCCATAAGCAACATAGAAAAAGAAGTGCAAGAAGGGAAAAACCAAATTCTGGAGCACCCACAAACAGGTTTTCTTGACGACAGATCTTGAGAGTTCAACCTGCGAAAAATCAGGCATATAAATATAACTTATAAGGCATACAAGTTGAAAGGCACCCTGTGGATAAAGTAGATCACAAAGGTAAATTGAAATGAGAAAACAGAGGTCAACCAACAGATTTAAGACCTTAAGAAGTAAAGTCCTAGTCCATGGCAGAGTTAAAGAAAGAAACAAAAAAAGAGAGAATAAAATCAACCATGTAACAAAATTCAAGAACAATGGTAAAATGGATGCTTGACCCACTTCCCTTTTCTTAAGCATGAGTTCATGCAACATAATGAAGTGATGACAAACAAAGATACAAGCACCAGAACTGAGCTTGACCATCATATTGCCAAGTGCCTAATAGATAATAGAGATATAGATTCTAGCTACTCAGCGTCAAATCAAGAAATTTTAATATACGCTCATCAATGGTGCATCGTTTAACAAAAAGGGGCACAAACACATTATCTGCACTAACCCGTGACATTTCATTTCAACAATATTTGTAGTTGTGGTTGGCTTTTCTTTTCGGGGCTGATAGACGTAGGAAATGTTCCAACACACAAGAAACCCAAATTATATGAAGTCAAAGTAATGCCAGGATAAGCAGATGCCAATGCAGCAGGACAGGTTATGCAAGGAAGTTCCAAAACAAGTTCAGTCAGTAAATTAGGCAAATGCCAAAGGCAAAGATCATAAGTCATGAAATTTCTGATTTCACAGAAGACGCAATAGGATTCATATACGACACATGCAAACAGGTAAACAAGAGGCAAAGCGAAGGCTGGAGAAAGCATGGCTGTTTCTAACTAAGAATGCTCCACCGATAGAGGAAAAGAGAGGAATGTGAAAACAGAGAGATAGAATGCAGAAGGTAGAAGGACAACAAACATACAAACAAGAGAAGTCAACTGGGATCATTCTTTGAAACAAAAGGACAAAAATAAACCGAGGCATAGAAAGGGTCAGTCTGCCATGTTGACAAGCATTCTTGAATGTGTCCGTATCAGCAGCTTGAGTCATATTACAACATGTCTTCAAGTATAAGATCATGAGATAGGAACCAATGAATATATATTAATCTTTTCATTGATAAGGTGAATTGTATATTTCCATGAAGTCACGGGTCTCCACCAGACAACTTTTTTTTTTCTCAACAAAGGCCTTTTTTTCTTAATAACCAATAAATACATTGTTTCTAGCTCAGGAACTTGGTGAATAATGGGTCGTCTCCTCTGCCCTGCCTTTCTCCACTTAAATACTAGACCTAGTTCACCAGCACAGATTCAAAGTCATGATGTGCGCCTACCAAAAATCCTGCACTGTATAATCTTTATGTTAAACCAAGGGACTGGGGGCTGAACAAAAGCCTATGTTCATCAGCATATGTATCGTAGACTGACTCTTTCCTACACTTTGAGCCAGGTTCATGATTAAGCTAAAATTTATCATAAGCAAAAAAAGCCCAAAAAAAAGGGTTGGCAGCCTAAAAAATCGCATAAAGAATCTCGAACTGCAAACTAACTTCAATGAGCAACAGCCACTTACGAAGCACATATTAAACATCAGTAGGGGAAAAAAAAAACAAAACGATTGTTAACTCAAGCAACTCTACCTAAAATAATTAATAAGGTAATATCTGCAAGCATAACTATTCTATCAATTTATCTTGCTTCGAGTAAAGCAGAAAAAATAATTGCTGATAACCTGAGCACAGGATTCTAAGACAGATTCAATGAATCTTCTCTTCAATGAGACATTAATCAAAGATGTACGACACAAAAAACTCCAAACACTACCATTAAGATTAATCCTTAAAAATGAGAAGCATCTATTGGACAACACAAAATGACAATTAAACTGGATAAGAAAGCACCAAGAAGAAGGCATACTACCACACAGATTGTTCTCAAACAATTGAAAGATTATAGGAGCTGCAGAGCTGAAGAAGTGCTGCTTGATTTGCTGCCTCAAGATTTTCTCTAATAAGTTGTGGATATGTCCCAGGCGAACTAGCAGCATGATTTGCCAAGGAAGCCACCAAATATTGCTTTGGATCATTCACTTCCTTCAAAGGGTCCTCTTCTTTCTTCCCAGCATTATAAAGATGGACAAAAGTTGCATTATAACCCACAGTCTCCCCAAAGTCTGGAACGTCTGGCTCCTCCGACAGTCTCTCTTCCTCTGGCCTAGAGAGAAGAGTAACAATACTGTCAAGCATTTTTCCCCGAACCTTGGAATCCAATAATGTTGAAGATTCACATATTAGTTTAGTTGAAGCAACTGAAGTCAGCTTGAGTTCAACTGATCCTGTGATTAACTTGAGGTTAGGTACCCAAAATTGCTCCACAATTGTATGGAAGACATCCTTTTGAACAGCATTCATCGAAACCACAAGATTTTGTAACCCATGCTTGACCAAGAAAAGAGACATGAATATCACAAGATTCTTCATAAACTTCACTGTTCTGCCATGCTGCAGCCGGTTAAAAAGTGAAACCCAAATGTGGCCGACAAAAGGTGATATCACATCATACCCAAGGTTTTCAATAACCGTATTGAGCACATAAAACCCCTGTTCATCTGTGCTGGGAGATGAAATTAGTGTATTGAAAATACCCAGAACATTAGATAGCCTGCCCTGTTGGTTTAGCTCATGGGGTGCCTTACGAAGGAATGCTTGGAGCAAGCGAACAAGAGCAGGAACATTTGCCGACTTTTTCCATGACTCAGGTAAAAGGAGAATCTCAAAGATCTGCACGTAGTGCTGAGGTACAGGAGGTCTATTCAACTCAACTAGCTGGGACAACAGTTGGAATGCATAAGGGAAGAACTCGCTCACATCATTAGCTAAGATCATCTGGAGGCTAGGGAAAAGGCTTCCTTCAAAAGCAGATATGAGAGTAGGATCCCTCTCACAGGCTCTCCTAATAAGAACAGCGACTGATTCGAAAAGATAATGGTTAAAGACAGGATTTTTTGGGTTCTGGCAGACTCTGTTGAGAACATTTGTCAGACCAGTTATGCAAGCTGAAGCAACATCACGAGAAATTTCAGCAACTCCAAGCACTCGCATGATACACTTCATTATATATTGATTCTCCTCGGATTCTGGCTTCTCCAAGGCACTGAAAAGGTTCGACATCAACACAAGCAAAAAGGGACTAATATCTGTGGCTGTATATCTTGCTCGTGTTCCTTCATCTTTGACAAGCAAGAGTTTCTCGATGCAACTCGCAGCATAAGAATGAACCACGTTGGACTCTGAAGCAAGGAACCGCACAACATCTGGAAGTAATGCCATTGCAACAGCCTTTGGCAGCTGATTTCTAAACATAGTAAAGAACTTCAATGCACCTGCCTTCAACATTGGAAAAGCATTCACATCCCTACTTTGCAGCTCTGGTACAATAACTGAACCAAAAAAGTTCTCAACATCTATAAGATCAGTTGAGACTGAACTACCACCTGCCTTTTTAGTGGCAAGGGAGACGACCAAATAGATAGCGCAATCCTTATATTTCCAATTTGCTTCTGGATTCTGAGCAAACAAGGCCAAACAATTTTTGATTTGAAGGGAAACCTTCTCCGTGACCTTGGCTTTGTAATGCATGGCAATGCCCTTGAGCAGTTCGCATGCAATCCTCCTCCTCGTGTCAAGATCACTCCCTTCCATATCCCTTCTAATAAACTCAATATAGTTCATTTCAAACAACTCCTCATCCTCATCCCTCAGCATCACATTGGGAATAACAATACTCTGACAAATCTGTTCCAATATGTCATCTCTTTCAAAGAGAGCATGATGAACACTTGTACTAACAGTGGTTAAGAACTTGATTGCAGTAACAGTTAGCCGTTCCCTGCAAGAAGATGCAGATGAAACCACAAGAAGACTCCATACAGCCTCCACAAACCCACTTAAATACTTTTGAAACAGTTCCTCCTCCTTCTCCATATAAAGACCAATATTTTCACACACTGCAGCACGCAGGCCATCGACAACAGCAAGACCATCATTACCACTGTCCTCAAGCACGGGGTACTTCACAGTGAGATACTTCTTAAACTCAAGCATCCACTCATCCATATGGTCCTCAAAGAACTCAGGCAACTCCTGAAAATTCAACGAATAAAATATCCTACAGCACAACCTCTGAGATTCTACGTACAGTTTCAAAGTCGCTGCATCTGCAGCCCCAGACGCCACAGCTTGATTGATTACACTCACTGTTCTTTTAAACAGTTCCAAAAGTGGCTTAGCAAACTTATCAAGACATTCTTTCAAATCGACAAGCAACTCATTGGTCTTAAACTGATATCGAAACTTCTTAAACAAAGAATTAATCGTAGCTAAAACACCATTAACAGAAACATAATCATTCGCTCGTGTCAAACTAACAAGGTTGGCAACAAGCTCAGGCAACAAAGTGGGCCACTGTAACGGGAAATCATGCTTACCAATGACGGCCAATGCTTCACTGAGCTGAGACTGTATCTTGGGTGACAACTTAAGCATAAGAGAAACAATCAAACTTTTAATAAGCTCCTTTTCAGCGTTTGAAATTGGGGTTAAGGATGGAACATTTGGTTCTTTAGGAGGAGATGGAGCCCAACGGGCCTTGAGGTGATTTTTAAAGTTAACGGCAGCAGCATGACGGATCTGCTCATCAACAGAAGGCTCAGCTACGAGCTGAAGGACGGCGAGGCCATAGTTAGATCTCTCAGAGGCCTCGACAAGTGCCGCTTCAGCTCGACGGCGTGGCTCCGGTAACGGAGACAGCGTATTAAGGAAGCATTGGGACAGAAATTGTAGGGTTTCGGGGTTCCACTCCATTCTAGGGTTTTACGGAAGAGTATATTGAAAAACTTGTAATCTATAGATATACGTATAGCATATGAATGCAACTAGGGTTTTTTGGAATTGAAATATGGAGATTGAAGTGTACCTTTTTCGAGCGATGGATTTGCGATTGGCTGAACAAGAGGAATTTGAACAACTGAGTGAAGGAGGGACTAGGGGGAATTTGGAATTTAAGCTGGCTGTCTACTTTAATGGGCCTGGGCTTACTGCCATTTCCTTTTGATAAATTTTCAAAAATCACAATTGTTTTGTGGCTATTAACTTTATATAACTAATATATACATAATTACTTCATATAACTACTATTCATTTATTACGGTAATATATTTATTGTATCTACGCTACTGTATTCATGAATACAGTAGCAAAAATCTCCTAAAAAATAGGGTAATCCGGCTGTACGCGACTGTATTTAGATGTATTCGCGCCATGTATTCATGAATACAGTGGCGGCAATCACCTTAAAATAGGTCTATACAGTTGTCTAATAATAGAAAGAGGATTAATTAACGTGATACACTCCTAATATAACTCAATAAAATCAATTCTAACACGCCTCATTATCAACCCAATTAATTAGAATGATTTTTCAGACGCTAAACACAAAAAACAAAGCATTGTCAATTCAACTTCAACATAACACAATCTGCAGGGCTTCAGTCAAATTTTTTCTGGTATAGTTCGAGGTTTTGATTTGACCGTCATTGATAGAAATTTTTTCTACCTAGCATTCATTGATACAAGTATTTACAGAATATTTAGTAATTCAGTTTACTATATGGAAAGATTAACAATGTTAATTCGTCATTCTCGAAAGTGGAACAATGAAAATTATTATGGCGATTATTCGATTGAGGGGATATTGAAAGCATATAGTAAATCGAATATTCCCTATTTGTTCAAAGCATATATTCAATCGGTATAATCTACAATATTTAAAATTATGGTGTAATGTATAAGAAAGTTACAATGTGATACCTTAATACATGTATGAATATAGCATGTAATATGAATATTTATTGAAAGCATGTATTCATGCATAAGGTATGTACTCAACCTACTACTTGTATTCAATTGTATTTAACTATTGTATTCAGTGTGTTTCAATATTTGTTTTTTACTGTTGCATTCATTATATTCAATGTTTGTATTTATTGTATTCAGTGTATTCAATTGTATTTGTATTAACAGTATTTTAATTATTCCTAATATATGTCATTACTGTTGTATTCAGTATATTTCATTGGTTGAATTCACTGTATTTCTATTTATATTCAGTGTATTTTACTATATTCACTGTATTTCAAAATTAAATGTATTCACTGTTTATATTCTATTTATTTTAATATTTGTATTCAATATATTTCAATATTTATATCTTGTATTCATGCATACTGTATGTACTCCGTGTATTCATGGACAAATACATGTTTTGTACATATATCCAAAACTTATGTTTCTCCGTTTGATGTAGGTTGTACCATCGACTGAATACTTGTACATGGTGAATGACGAAGGGAGGCTTACACCGTTTGCATCCAAAAGAAAAATTACAGTTGTGGGAGGTTCCAAGTAGACGAGCTACCATGCCCACATGCTTGGACTGACTTGAAAAGCAAGTTTCTGATGTCGGGTGATTATTGTTCGGACTATTAGAAATCAAAGTCTGTTGTAATGACATACGAGGTCCCCGTGCATCCTCTCCTTAACCGAAGTAGATAGAATATACCGGCACATATATCAGAGGAAGTTGTCTTATCACCCAAATAGAAGAGACCTCGAAGGCTAAAGAAGAAGCGCGATAAGCCATTAAGTTAATTGCTTCAGAAGAAGAGTCAAAATTCGTGTAGTATATGTGGGCAGGGTGAATATAATAAGCGTACTTGTAGAAATTCCCCACGTAGGAATTAGTTGATGTTCTGATTTTAATTTCTCCAATCACTGTTATTGGATTTGTTCGAGATTTTTTATTACTTATTGGTTTCTAGATGTATTTGATTGTTGTTGGATGAATTTTTTAAAGGTAGATGACTAAATATATTACTGTTAAGTTTAATGATATGTATAAAAAATGATGTATATATACTGAATGTGGTTAGATACATTATTATATTACAATTCAAAATATATTTGAATATAGAATACAGCTATGCATATGACTAAATATATTACTGTTAAGTTTCTTGATATTTTAAAAAGAATAACATGTATATATATATATATATATATATATATATATAACAGGACATGTATATACACTCTAAATGGTTAAATACATTTTTATAATTTAATTCAAAATACATTTGAATACAGAATATAACTATGTATATATGAATATACAAATATAGAAATACAGCAGAATACATACATGGAATGTGTATATACTGTAAGTGGTTCCTGTACTTTTAGTGTATTTAATCAAAGTTTTTTCTAGACTTCAAAAATACATAAATACAACTAAATATGAACACATTGATTACATAAAGATCTAAAAAAATTCATGTATTAAGCATAATGATGTGTGGCTATAATTCATGGTTTAGCACATTATTCGCCTTGCATTTTATACGCTTTAATGATAAATTACACTTTATTTGCTTGTAATGAAGTCCATTTTATGTGTAGGTGAATTGGAGATGAAAGTAAAGCAAAGGGGATACTTAAAAGTCGAAAGTGTGCTCGAGAGCAGTTGAAAAGGAGAAGATGGCAAAGCCAGGCCTACACCGGGCGTTATACCTGGCGAAGCCAGGCCTAGAGCATGCCTTATACCTGGCGACACCAGGCTTGTAGCTAGCGAGAGACCTGGTGAGGCGGGGCAGAAGGCAAGCTTGACCAGGCCTAATACCTGGCGACAACAGACCCGAGGCGAGGTCCATCAGGCGTTAGGCCCCGCGAGGCCAGGTCTGGGCGTGCACAGTCCGAGTTTTGAAGATTTATTTCGTCTCCGGATTTGACTAGGACTTTGCCTACACATTTAGGTCTTTTCCTACATATATAAATAGACCTAAAAATGCCACTTAGGGAGGACTTTTGCAACCGGAGGCAAGAATAGCTTGTGGAATCACCCGTTGGGAGTTAGAATCATCGATTTCTACATCCTTTCATCTTTACTTTGTAATTGAATTATGTAAAATATTTGGGATATTGTTACTATGAGTATGAGTAGCTAAACTCCTAATCTAGAGTTTTGATGGAACCTATTGAAGGATGATTTTCTTGTTACGTTAATATAAATTTTCCGTAGTATTTTCTCTATTTGTTCAACTATATTATTCATGTGGTTGATTGAAGGGCCCTCAATTAGCTGTGCCTATTTAGTATGTATTACTCGGGAGAGAGTGCATATTTAGGTAGTTGTTGAACAACATCACTCCTAACGTATATGAGGGATCAATACGAAGGGTTTAAAGGTGGGATTAGGGATAACGAAACCTTGGTGCGATCTGAGTGAGCCGTACTTAATGCTAGCTAGAGTAATTCGGGAGAATATGTCTAGTAAATTATGATAATTACTCAGGAGAGAGTTACGACAATCATAGTGCTCATGATCGATAGAGAAGACTTAGGCAAATTTATATAAAACGTAGCAGAAAAGATTCCGACAATAGGGGAAATCACAACCTTAGATCATTCCAATTCTTGTTTACAAACCGTTCATAGTTAGTTATTTATTATTGTATTTTTATTACGTAATATTTAGTTAATAAACATCCAAAGTGTTATTTAAATATTTCTGAAGATTGATTGCGTGAATTTGTGCGAGTCTAGCAGCTGTGGTTGATAGGTTAATTCCCTGTGAGATTCGACTCCGGACTTATTAGCCGGGATATATTTGTGACGACCGCTTGTCCTTTTTATAAGGCATAGTTGGACGTGATCAAATTTTGGCATTGTTGCCGGAGAGTTAACAGTATTATTAATTGCAGCTAAAAGAAGTGCTAGAATTCTTAGTGTAGTCAATTTTCTTCATTCTAAATCAAATACATTGAAATTCTAACGTTTGTAGTCTGGGGTGTTACAGGTGCATGCCTAGGAACTCCTCAAGAACTGATGAACTGCTCGAAGCGTTATCAAATCCTGAGAAAGTTTTCAAGGCACTAAATCGTGCAAACAAGAAAAGAAAACAACAACAAAACTTGACAGAATAATTCAAACCAGATATGGATGACGGAATAGAAAATCCAATCAACAACAGAAACAATGCGAATGAACCAAACAATCAGGGTGTGGTGCCTCTTGTACCAGAAGCAGCATTATATGATTGGGCACAACCCAACACCGACAATCTGGCAACCGCAATTGCAGTCCCTCAAATACAAGCGGAATCATTTCAAATCACAAACAACATGCTACATTTGTTGTAGAACAAGGGATTGTTCCCAGGGTCACACATTGAAGATCCTCAGCAGCATCTGAAGAATTTCCTGTCGATATGTGTCACGCAAAGGCAACCTAACGTGACACTGGACACAATAAAGATGCTATTGTTCCCATTCTCGGTGATAGGAGAAGCTCAGACTTGGCTTAATTCACTCCCCATAAACTCCATCACTACTTGGGAGGAATTAGTCAAGTAATTTTTGAACAAATTCTACCCACCCAATAAAACTGCCCAACAGATTGATGATTTATTGAGCTACAGGCAGAGACCAACAGAATCACTATAAGAAACGTGGGATAGGTTCAAGGGTATGCTGGTTAAGTGTCCACATCATGGCATTCCAGATCAGATGTTGGGGCAGAGATTCTACATGGGACTGGCTGACGGCTTAAAGGCCAATGTTGATGCTTCAGCAGGTGGAGCATTTTTGAGTAAAACATTCGGAGAATGCAAGATCCTACTTGATAAGATGGCCCAAAACTCAGGATGGATGACAAGAGCCTCTACGATCACTCCGGTAGTTCACTCAGTGGCTTCGGATCCAAACAACTCCATAGTTGAGAATATGGCCACTCTAATGACACAAATGAGTATCCTCACAAAGAAGATAGATAAATCAGCCATAAGCAGCAGGTTCACATAGTTGACGCAACTAATGGGGGCTTATGTACACCATGCATTAACCAACCATATGTTTGCTCGTGGAGTGCGGAAGGTGACAACCAATACTATTAGGAAGATATGAATTATGTAGCCAACTATGGGGG